CAATGCAGTGAACATGGCACTGCATTACATCCTGCAACACCTCGACTCCCCAGGGACGTATGCACGGGCCCTCTTTGTGGACTCCAGGTCGGCATTCAACACCATCATCCCGGATATCCTCCACTCCAAACTGACCCAGCTCACTGTGCCTGCCCCCACCTGTCATTGGATTACACGCTTTCCGACAGACAGGAAGCAGCAGGTGAGGCTGGAGAAAACCACATCCAGCAACCGGACAATAAGTACAGGTGCCCCCCAGGGATGTGTGCTCTCCCCTCTGCTGTTTTCACTCTACACCAACGACTGCATCTCGAAGGACCCCTCTGTCAAGCTCCTTAAGTTTGCTGATGATACAACGGTCATTGGTCTCATCCGAGACGATGGCACTGTAACAACAATGGAGCCCTTCAAGTTTCTGGTCTCCACAATCTCCCTGTACTTGGGTGACCAACATCAGCCCCATCACCACAAAGGCACAGCAAAGGATGTACTTCCTGTGCCAGCTCAGGTTCAGGAAGTTCAACCTGCTGATACAATTCTACAGAGGAATCATCAAGTCCGTTCTCTGCACTTCCATCACGGTCTGGTTTGGCTCAGCAACCAAACAGGACAACAAACTTCAGCGAACAGTCAGGACTGCAGAAAAGGTCAATGGTGTGAGTCTGCCCTCCATGAAGGACCTGTACACCTCAAGGGTCAAAAGGAGGGCAGAGAAGATTTCTGCAGACCCCTCACACCCTGGACACAATCTGTTTGAACTCCTCCCCTCTGGACGGTGCTAAAGGTCACTGTGCCAAGACAACCAGGCACAGGGACAGTTTCTTTCCGTGGACCATCGCTGTGGACCATCGTGATGAACATTTATTATTCTAGGAGACCTAATGCTGTTTTACCCTTGTTTTTATGTGGTGTTATACAGCCCTTTTTGAATGTGTGAGCTTTGTAGTGTTAACTACATTATTTAAAGGCAAACAACTTGTTTGCGTTAATTTTATCTAACTACCTTTGTAGATATAGTAGGTGTGGCAGTAAGGTGGGACCGAATGGAGTAGGAGTTTTGGGCTATTCGCTCCCTGCACCTGCATGTGGTGGATTTTTGTACATCTGATTTGCAGTAATCTGTAGTTTTTCTGGCTTGCAGTGAAGTTGCACCAGCACAAGTGGTGGTTGGTGGGTTTTCCTTTTAGATGTAGACCTGTTGCCCACCACCCTGGGACATGGGGCTTTTAATATTGGCATGTCATTTAACTGGTGATACTTTTAAATCCTGAATTGTGATTAAAACCTTTACTAAGTGTGGAATTTATTAGCTGCTCTACTAGTGTTTAAAAGGTCCCTTGGACTTTTTCCCAAGGTGGTGTAGTGGAAATTTGTTAACGTGACATTTAGCCTCCAACATGTCCTCTTGATCATATATAAAAACAGGCACCTAAACCGCCAACGTCTCAGCAAGTCCATCTTCAGGTGAGCTACTTTGAATTCAGCCCAGTGTTTGTGCCTGTCATGTATTACAATTATAAAATATTGGGAAAAAGCATGAATATACTCAGTTGGCAGTTTATTACGTACATGAGGATACAACTAATGGAGTCCAACAGTCCTGCAGCAAGTCCTCCCTTCATCAACAACAAAGCACATACCAGTCTAAATTGTTGCTCATGTTCTGCAAACTAAAATACAGCTCCAAGGAAAAGGGTGTTGGTTATGTAACAGACACAACACTTTATCATGCAACAGATGGAATACTTTTAACCCAGCCAGAGATGACTTTCTGGGCACCCTGGAAATGCCTTTAAGACAGCAGCAAGTTAAACTATAAAATGTTTAACTGTCTCAAACGTAATGGTAAAACATATGCACAAACTGTTGACCCGCCCCCAATGAAAGTAGGTCGCCATATTATATCAGCAATCGTGTCTTCAAAATGCATTAGACGTGGACGGATGCAGCAAACGTTCACAAATACAGAAGGGAATTTGATTAACTAATTGGCTGCATCTACCCTCTGTTCCACTGCATACCTGCGGCAGAATGCGCGTCTCTGTGGCAACCACAGACCGACGCATCTCACCCAGGATGCCAGGGCATCTCTCATTATCGCTGACTCTTCATCTGCCAGCAGTTACTTTACAACCACGACATGGACAAGCTAAAAAGGAACGCAAAAAAGGACTCTCTCACCTTCAACCCACTCACTGGATATGTGGGTGATATTTTCTAAATCGGATGCATGCCATACCTGTTTCTGATGACCCAGGAGGAAGGGGAGCAGGCGCATCAGGATTAAGATAGATGCCGCATATAGAGGATCAGGAGGAGATAAGGGAATTCTAGCTGTAGTGGGGGTCAGGTGCTCCTCAGTCAGGCACGACGCACGTCCCGCGTCCCGAACCCGTTTATCCACGTTGCGCTCCGCAGTTCCTTTTGGCGTACAGCTTCTGGAATAGGCTATATGCACGCGGATGAGGAAGTCTAAATAATTAAAGAAGGATTTGCATTTGGCATAAAGTCGGTTATTTTGTGGACAAACAACTGCTAAAGTGAGCTGTCCTGGACATCCGCATCACTTTGCGAACCTTACAACTAAAAGCGCAAGGTTTCCAAGTTGGCCTTGAGCTTTCACGCTGCTTATTATTTGCACTACTGTCACTGATAGTACATGGGTTGAGTCATAATCTATTAGGTTGTGCCGTTTAGTTTTATTCTAATCAGTTTGACTTAGTTTTCTTACTCTTTCTATTCTATTTTTTAGTTTCCTAAATGGTATGGCATAGGTGAGAGAATTTTCGATTTGCTGTATGTCCTGCACATATAGTGAACTGACAATAAAAATCTTTGATCATGATCTTTAACTACTTTCCTTATCGTTTTAATTTAATCACTTCTGAATAATCTTTTTGTCTTATTTCATTTGTCAGTATCACCAGTGACAAATAACAGCAAAACTAATATTTGAGAAAGGAATATTAGAAACGGCAAATAAAACTATCATTTGATTACCAAACACAGCTTGATATTGGTCTCTCCATAAATTACTTGCAGTTCCAAGTAGCTTAAAGCTAAACCTCTCGATTTTAAAGACAGCCTTATTGAAGATCTATTAAATGCTGTATAACCTGAAGGTATTCTCTTATTCCACTCGTTTTGAACTACATAACATTCTGTTTATGACAGCCTACCTTAGTTCACTATACTTGCAAGGCACTGGGTGACTAGTGAATTCCACTCATGGGTATGAACCTTCAGCCAAAACAAGAAGCCTACCTTTCCCCCATCCTCTCACCCATGTGCTCAAATTGTCTGAGGTTTTATTTGCAGCCGTCATTCTGCAGTGGGTAACATGCAGGTTGGTAAAAGCTCATTTACTGGCAGATTTAGATTTTTCCTTTACACTGCTCTCGTATTGTCAAGAGTGGGCTGACAAAAGCCGAATGCAGTGGGTAAGTGAGGTCGGCGGTTCGAGTCCACCAGCTGATTTATTTCCTCTCCACAAGTCGCTTATAAACATACCGGTAAAACTACTGGTGTACATGTTGTTGCATACACCCGCTTTTATTCTGACATAACATTTGTTTGTTGCTGACCATCACTGAAGCAATGAGGCTTACAGATGACAGGAGCCATGTTCACTTGCATAATGCATTTGTGTCTATAAGCAGATGGGTCACTGACCTCTCTTTCCAGGACCAGTGTCTACAGAGGCCCAAATGGAGCAGCAGGAGCAGATGGGAACAAGGAGGATGAGAGAGAGCTGTGTGCTTAATATTTAACCAGTGAAACGGCATGCTGCTCCACCCAGGAAGAGGGAAGATAGTCATCCCACCAACACTGATTACAGAGATGGTGGAATACACAGGTGTCAAGTACTGCTACTCACATTTTTCAATAGACCGCTTGTTTTTATTAATAGTGGTAACTTGAGTGAGGGATTTGAGTACTGTACATTCTCACTGTGAAGGCACTGATTCGCTAGACAAAGCTGGCACTTTTTCTGGTACTTCTGTGTTTTTGAACACTAATAGTATAAAATTAATAGTATTGTGTTTTACAGAGAAGCTAAGTCCACTAAAAACTAATCCTCAGCAGTCAAACAAGACCTCAAGGTCACTCATGTTATTAGGGAATAATGTAATGTTCAATAATGAGCATCTGCTGTAGCAACCTAATTAACATTCTTTGTCAAAGACTCCAACAGAACTAGAAAGCCCCCCATATTCTACAGTCAAAGGTCTTACTGGCTTTTTTTTTTTTAAGCTCGTTTCATGCTTCCTTCAGACTGGCTGCTAAAATTAAAAACCTTGGACTGAATCATCCTTACAATAACAAATGGAGCTTGCAGAATGACCCAGTGCAAGATTACTACTGTAGTCAGGTGAGAGCACTATCAATCTTCTTTGCAAGCTTCCTCCAAGACCGCTGAAAAAACATCTACTTTCTCATTCAATTACAGATGTTACTTTTCTGCAGTGGCACCAAGACTTAAAAGTGCTTTGAAGATCTACAGTAGATAAAGATGGTGTCTTTCATACCTCTAAAGTTATGCACTGAATCTCGCCTACCACCACCCTACCTATTCCATTACTTTCACATCTGGCATTGCTACCCGCCTTTTCAAAACATCCCTCCACGCTCTCTAAGCATGGATGGGTGGAAACAGAAGTTGCAGATTGCCAAGATCTAATGAGGGAAAACAAGGGCTGCATGTGAGCATGAGTTAGGCGTTGGCTTTACTGATCAGGGGTGGAAAGGGCCTCTCAATAGGACCCATACATACGCTTCTTGTGCCCAACTTGCACTCATACAGTTCAAGAGCATACTGTACACAAACCTAGCTTTAGAGGTGTAAGATGGATGTGATAAATGCCATGCTTCTTCATGCAACTTAAATTGTTTTATTCAAGCTAAATGTTATACACTTTTTGAAATGATTGCAGTGCATTTTGAAACTCCAAATATTTAATAATAAAATTAAGAACTGCATGTCTTTTGTATGAAGTATTTAGTGTCCCTGAGGACTGGAACACATTCACTTCCAGACATTTTATCCATCTTTAATAGTAAGGCACTCTTCTATGTCAGTCAGGTAATCCAGCTGGAACCCAAACATTTGTCAGTGGTTTAAGAATGTCAAGTTTTTCTAAAACCTGATCAGGTATGAGGTGGTAGGAAGCTCTGTGAAATTCATTCAGAAATGCCAACCTTTTATAACTAACTGGTTTCTTTTTCTATCTCTACTTAATTTTCTTTATTTCACTTTTTTTTGTTTCATCATCATTCTCTGAACAACATTCATATATTGTCAGAGATGTACAACAATGTACGAAGACCTGTGAGAATTGGCAGAGGAGGTAAGGGATTGTGGGGACACTGAAAAATAAAAGTTGATTTTTCTAGTTACCTTTGTTTTATTCCATGTGTCACTTAAAATAGAGCAATATCTATATTACTTTTATTACAGAATCCTTTTATCCCTACGGTACAACAGCCTGAAAATCCATTCCAGCTTTTAAATGCCTTTTCAACTGTCAAAGGACTCCCAGTGAACAGAAGAGGTTTATCTGTTAAATTCAAAAGTGTATGAAAGCACAATAGGCCAAATTGGTTTCCCAATTAAGAGCAATAGCAGCAATAATTACTCTGGACTAAGCTCAGCTCAAATAAGGCTTGAAGAGAAGTAGCTTGCACAAATTTTCCCATTAGCATAATAAAGAAAAAACATTCACTGGCGTTACTGACAGCTAGACAGTTACCTGGATGAGTCATTTCCAATAAAATATACTGACTAACACAAATCTTTAAATCTGAGTTAAACAAACCTTTGGCTTTTCTTTCTGGGTAGTCTGATGTCTGGTTTTCCCAGTTTTCCAGGACAAATCCCAGATTCTATGTCCCGCCACCTGACACATCTATCCAGTGGGTACAAACAAGCCTCATGTTCATGAAATGCTTTCACTTTCTATAGAATAATGCCAATCCCTTTTCTGTCCAGAATAAATACAGCCTGATAACAAATGGTGCTTTTTATAAAACCGTGACTTAGAAATGATGACAAATTAAATACAGTATGAGAGAAAGAAACTGCATCAGGGAGGAGAACAGTGAGTCTTGGCTAAATATGATGATGGATCAGAGTTACTATCACATTTCGGAATGATATTTAACACACTGAAATCTCAAGTTACCTTCAGTTTAATTTTGTCTGAAACAAACACATTAAGTTGTGATAAATCCACTGTACATCAGTGGGTGGTGCTATGGGATGTTAGAGGTTTAAAAAAAAAAAAAGTCAACCAATGGAACCTGTGGTAAATCTGAGAAAATGTTGATAGTAAGATCCTAGGACAACTTTTCTGGATTTATGCTTCAGCAGTTGTTGGAAGAACTCTCACAAACAGAGTTCTGGTGTCTAGAGATTTTACTGTTGAATCAGTTGGCAGCTCTGGAAAAAAAAAATGGAAACAAAGAGTTACATGATATGCCTGACTGATTTTACGCAATCACAAAAGATCACGGTAAACAAAAAAACTGAACAAATCCAACAATAAAGATCTAAATCCCTAACTTCAAGTTGGTTATTCTATCTAAGAGAACCCAAGAAATTACTATGTGTCATGGAAGAAAATGCTGTAAATTTTCCACCAGCAGTGCACAGTTTTTATTACATCCAAATGAAATATGCCCATGGATGAGATGACAGCATTCTGCATTTAATTAATTTTAGATGTGACCCATGATGCAAGTTACTAAGAAACTGAAATGTATGATGGCATCTGTAGTTTACATAGTCGCTAGGAAACAGGAAGTGATGGGAGGGGCAAAGAGTGGTTAGGAGTTTCACTAGACCCTCTAGAGGCTGAAAAAACAGAGTAGCTTTAACAGCTTCAATTACTAAGAATTATTAAGAATTTATCAGTTGCATGAAGATGCTAACAGTAAAAGCCATCAATCTGAATGTTCCCCCACAGTCTATCAGCTCAGATTTTTTTTACACTCATTTCATCTTACCCTGGGTGAGGTCCTGGTCCAGGTAGAGTTTGAGCCGCCTACTGCGGAGGCCGAAAACCTTGGCAGCTTCAGACAGGAGACCCGAGTAGTCAAGCCCATTCTGGCCCACTGGATTCACTAGCAGGAGGGTGCCCACTTCTCCTGTCTGGCACTCTAGAGGAGAGACGAGCATTTCAGAGAAGTGAACCAGACAGACTTTACTGCCTCTACAAATGAAGAAATGATTGGCTCTTTATTTAGCCTTATTCACAAGTCCTGGGAAAGTTTGTGATCAAACCTAGAGCCATGGGAAAACAGAGGAGACAGACAGGATGAAAACAAGTCAGAGGACAAGAGAGAGGGCCTAGCTGATCTCATGATAAATACAGAGGTGGAGAGGCAAGGTGTACAGGGTTAGATGAAGTGATTTGCCATTAATAATGTAATTGATTTAGATATACCATATATTAACCAGCAGTGTAAAAGATGAGAATGTGCAGTGCTGACTAGCAGAAAATGTACAGCAGTTTTAATTTACTGCAGTACTGTAGTACTTACTTGCAGTTAGATGGTGCCTCATACCGTTTTAATGAGATGGAGCTACACATGCATCTGTTGACCTCCCTTAAGAGCTGCACATCATAAAACTAATGCACCTCCTTGACATCTAAAGAAGAAATAAGCTGCAGCGTGGCTTTCTATGCCAACTGTGGCACTTGTGTTGATGAACACTGTAATGTGAAGTTGTTGTCTCTATCTGAGGCTCAGTTATCGCAGGCTGGGAGCGAAGTGTCTGACAGCAGAGAGCACCACTGTAGCTGCAGTGCTAACGTTCCTGACAAGCAGCACTCTAACTAAACACACTTCTAACATAACCAAAGGAAAAGTGATGAACTGTAGCCAACACTGCCCTGCTTTGTGTATAGATGCATTTTATTAGTTGCAGTAAAATGTTGAAAGATTTCTTGGACTAAAGTTCTAAGTTCCCCAGTGAAGTCTGGAAGTTTTGCAGCATATTGTTTGCTATGTTTAGTCCCTCATCACTAACAGTGAACTCGCATGATGGAGATCCACCCCCCCCAAGAGCCAGGATGAATAATTATAGCAACTGAATGTTAGTGCCTCTTATACTTCAGTAGAAGACTCCAATTGTCTTTCCATCACTGGCTAATTTTGAAAGAACACCATAAACCAACAACAGTGAGCATTTTACAGATAGCCCTGTCTAGAAAAAGACAATCATTTTGTGAAGGGTAGAATCACTGAAAAGACTTGGAGATGATGCTCTATGATTAAAGTTAGTTCTGGCACCTACTGCTACCTACTTTGGGAACTTTTATTATGTGTCAGATTGTGAATAGCATGTCAGAAAGGGCCAGATCAGATCTGTTGTAGCTATGTTATATGCATCAAGTTAAATAAAGCATTGACTACACAGACAAAACTTTGATATAATAAAATAAAATAATGTCAGCCTAATCTTTAAACAGTGAGGAGGACTGACTTATCTCACCAGCTGGTTGTGCGTTGCAAAGTAGCAGGTTCACGTAAGGACACAGAAGAGCATCAGTGGTGGGGACGTGTCCAGGGGAGGAAGAGCCTGAAGTCACTGACAAAGTTTTACCACTCAGAGGCTGAAGCTCCGTTTGGCTCACCAGCTCTGTCATGAAAACACAAAGACGTACACAGAAGAGGTTGCTCATTTCATTTGGGTTAATATGGGGTCCCCTAAAACTACAAACTCCTCTGACAAGTCAGCCGAGTACATCATTAACTATATGCTAATTAGAGAAATCCTGCATATAACTTATATTTGTCCTTAACTTCCAATCAGCTGGTAAAAATGCAAAAAGACATATTTTATGTCAAAAACAACCAGGCTAAAAATGAACACAGAAGTAGTATTAGCTAGCTTTATTAGGGTTAGCCTACTGGCTGTAATGCTTAAGCCACTGTTCAAGAGTTTATACAATGATGTGACACCAGTAAATGGATGATTAACATTACATGTACGGGCTGGTGCAGTTGTGTGACAAGTTAACTGTAGCTAACTGGCTAGCTGAAATGACAGATGCTTAGTGTGTTTAGCTAATGGTATTTTTTCAGTTAAGGTACAGTAGCTAGTAGTGCAGTTATACACACACACAGTAAAATAAACATTGTAATTAATTTTACCAAATATCTTTGATGGAATTTAACTAACTACAATAATTCAACCAGTAAAATATGAGTGCTTATGATTTTACATGAAACAGCAGCAAGTAATGGTAGCAGATGCTTCTGTAATAGCATGGTCTTACAAATTAGATAAGAGAGCTGGGTTTTTGTCTTTCTGAGGGGCCACAGTCATTCTTACCAGTCTCGCCATTAAAGAACCTCAGCTGTGTGTTATTTGTTTCAAAGATGCTGCTGCACACTTTCTTCAGTTTGTCCATGTCTAGTCTATTATCTCCTTTAGGGTTCTCCAACAGCACCACCCCCTCTGGACAAGAAACAAGTCAGACAGGATTACTACTACAGCAAAACAGTACATAGTGTGAATCACAGGTAAGACAAAGTGACTTAACTTATTCTATCCATATAAGGCCTTGCAAGACTTTGAACTAACCTTTAATAACAAAATAAAGAGTAACATTTATCAAAAGATGAAGCTCCCCATGTGCTACCTTGTTCTTTCTTGTTGACCTTCACCCTGAGGTTCACGTAGGAGCAAGCTGGTCCACTGAGAGGAGCCTGAGGAGCCGAAGCTCCCTTTACTATGGTTAACTCCAAGTCGGAGCCCTTCAGCTGCAACAAAGGAAAAAAAGCATGAAAGAGGGAACCAGAGAGCGAAAGACACACATCAACATTTTATTCTAGTGCCCTTTAACCAGAAAATGTTATTGCACAAAAACATAGCCGGCTGAAGAGATGATGGGGGTGTCGCTGAGAACGAAAACTTTGAAATCCCATCATCAAATGATCATAAAAACACATATATTCTTGGCATTATGTAGCAATCTAAAGCAAGCCCCAACTGCTACAGATTTACACAATAAATGACCACCCACAACCCATAAAATATGTGAAATACAATATTTTTCTATGGCTTCCAGGTGTTCTCAGCAGGTCCCAATGTTAAAATGCTGTGGGGCACAACAAGCTGCCTATAATAGTCAAGTCAAGTGTTTACTGTCATATGCACAGTGAGGAAACGCGTTTCCCTGTACAATGAAATTCTTACTTTGCCGTCCACACGAATGCTACACAATATGAATTAAATATAAAGTAGATACGTAGGTGACACAAAATCTAAGGCACTTTAAAAGAGCCAATGAAAAGAAGCATAATGAAAAATACAACACCACAATGCAGTGAAGAGAGAATGTATGTTACCATAATCCTGCTTGCCCTGAGGTATCTTTTCATACCTGTGTCTTTTCCTCTATGATGATACTGGTGGCCTTGGGGACAGGGAAGGGCAGAAGTGGAGCCTTGGTGGTTGACAGGATAAAGTCAGTGTGAGCCTGGATCACAGAGTCCAAGTACCCCCCCTCTGGCTGGCAGTAGTAGTACACAGTTATCTCATCTGATGGCACCAAATGGCCCTAAGGCAAGACATTGAGAGGTAGGGAGCATGTTTTATGTAAACACCACAAGCAATATTTTTAGAAACAAGGACTGGGTGCCTGTCTTTGTAATCAACACATGTTTCTATGGTATCAAAAGGATCAAAGACACCATACATGACAAGCCCTTAGTGAGTAAATATGCTCAAAGTACTGCTGAAACAGTTCTTTAAACAATAATGTACAACAATCTAATATTTGGCTTAGAAAACTTATCTGCCAAGTATTCAAATAATCACAGTTCAATGACAAGTAATTCTCTTCAAAGCTTTTTTTTCTTCTTTTATAAAAAAAATAAACCTGAAAGGAAAAAGGAAGGATGGGAATAAAAAGCAATAAGCAGACAGTATAGGATCAAATAAAGGCAGGAAGGAACAAGGGGGGATCCTTTACTCTATTTTGGCACTGTGCTGCCAGTTTCCTCCAACCTTGACACATTCAAACACATTGATCTCAACGTAATCTGCAGTGCAGCCTTGCACATGTGTGCGCAGACATATATTGACTTAAAGGTAACCACACACTTGCAAACACCCCCCCATTGCAGTAAGTGGCTCAAGGGCAGAGGAATAAAGTTAGCTAGATACAAAATAGCGGCCAATCAACGGAGGAAGGTTTATAGGCTTTTCCTGCCAAGTCAAGAAGCTAACCCTACCCTGAAGGGGCTCATACAGCGTGTATGTGTAAACATGTCTGATGGAACTACAACGAGCTCCAGATTGTGAGCAGTCCAACAAAAAAGGAAATGCTGACCCCTGTTTCTCAACCCTGCAAATGCTCACACACAAATATCCAAGTACACAATGATACAGACGTGCATGCATACCTATAAATTACTACTAACTATGTCAAAGAATTGTTAAAAATTAATTCCCATCCCCAGGGTGGAAAATTCCTAACAGATCTCAGTTTGAAATAACTGGAGGAATTTAGCCTGGGCCAGAGCCAGTGCACACCACTGCTATAGGGAGATGGAAAAAAAACTGTTTGTTGCTTGTGAAAACAAGGGGCTGTTGGCTAATCCGTCTTTACTCCCCAGACCACTTCAAAGCTCCAACATTAGGATCTGAAAGGGGCCAGACTGTAATTAAGCTTCCATTAAGCCTGCCTTATGATGGAGCAACGTCTAACTGTGACGCTGCAGTGGAAAGATTTCCAAACTCCCCTGACAAAATTAGTATGAGACTTTAAGAGGAAAGGGGGAAGATGAGGGGTGATGAAAAGGAGGGAAATAGAGAAAATTTTCTGCATCATAGGGCTGCATCTAACTGTGTCATTATCAGTTACTTTATTGCTTTTCAATTAATCAATTTACTGTTTAAAAATAACAAATGAAAAGAATGAAAAACAACTATCACAATTTCCCAGATCAAATCAGAGGTATGGAGCCCCAGATATGACCAAATATACTGAAAGGCTACCCAACAAGTCAAAAATATCACTGCATATATCAATAAATAATTAAATCATTAAAATGGAGTGCAAAACCACTTTTCCTTTCATACCAATGAGCTAATAAAATTAATTAAAACCTATTTTCCTCCATTTAACTTTCAATGGCTCATTTTATTTTCCAACCTCCTTCACTTCCCTGTTATTTTTTGACACATATTGAAAAATGTATCCCCCACCATGCAACGTTTCCCATTCCCATTACATTTCCAGCTTTTCAAAGGCTGTTTGGGAATTCTGCTTAACAAATTACTCAAACAATACATTGAAATGGTTGCTGATTAATGTTGTTGTTCAACTAACTGATTAATTGACCATCGGATGTGCTATTTTGATCTAAATACATTAATGCAGTGTGTGTGGCAGGTTCACGAAAACTAGCAACCAAAGTAGCATTGTTGACAAGATGCCAAATGAGGAACTTCATCAAAACCTTTAAGCAGTGTCTGCTGGAGATACAGTATATTCTTGTGCATTTTGTATTCTACATGTATTTTCTGGGGGATATGCAGATTGTCATCAGACTTGAAAACACCACAAAGCTAACATTGGTTCCAACTTTTCTTCCTCCTTTTTCAGGATTTTGTGTAATTTAAAGCAGCCTTGGATGATATTTTGTATACCAACTCCTCAACCTGCCTCAGTGGTATGTGTTGATCACCCTGGCACAGCCCCAATTACATGCACTGGCAAAATGTTTCAGCTATGTCAGATTCTATTAATTAGCCACTGGGCTACAAAATTAGGCAGCAGTATGTTAAGTGTCACTCTTGTTTCCAGAGCTTATGCTCCTGAAATAACTGCCCCACCTTCTTGCGCAGTTTCTGAATGCGGTTGATGACCTCTCTGGCAACGCCTTCATCCACCATGGACTGGTCTGGGGTGACATCCAGCAGCACCAGGACCTAAAGGACAATAGAGCCAGAGAGAGGAGACTAACATTAAACTAATCACAACAACTATCACTGAATTGTTCAGATGTTTCCACAGACTACATCATATATATCCCTCAGTGTGTGTACATCCATGAGTGTGTGGCCCTACAGGGCTTCATAGTTAAAAAATAAAGTTGTTTATGCATGCATACACTGGCAACATGATTTAGTCAAAATAGGTAGGTGGATTTTGAGCCAGTGAAGGTTATAAATGTCTAAATATGAAATGTATTAAATATAAACACCAATTACACTTCAAATAATTTTTTATCAATGTATTTAAAACTGGGTTTTACAATAAAGTAGGCATATCTGGGTGAAATGATTTGTCCTGTATTTGAGTACAAATATACATTCATATATAAAGATTACAATTGCTCAAACATTTTAATGTGAAACCTGAAAAAAAAACTACCAACCAAGTAGTAATAATGACAGAATTGTAGTCTGTGTAAGTTACTGAAGTAAAATGAGTTTCAGGCTGTGCAGGACTGAGCTACTGCCAGTCCTAAACACTTCACCATGGAAGAGGGAAGGAACTGACAGGGTGACAGAAAAGTTCACAAATGCCGATAAACACAATATAACAAGAGAGAACAGAGAGCCAGGCAGATGGGAACTGGAGAGTCGGTGCGAGTGAGCAAAGGCAACACAGAGAATTAAAAATCCAGCTCACTACACTGGCATTAAGGTGCAGCCATGTGGTATGTATATGGTTGGAGGAGCACTGATTAGAGAGGGCCTATGGGAAAAGCATACATGCTGGTTTCCACTTAGCTGTGAAATGATTTCATGCATCACACTCAGAGTAAAGAAACAAATTCATTTACTGTAGATAGCATCTTGGTGCATGAGCTGCAGCAAAGTAGCTTTTTTCTTTCAAAATCCAGTTACACTCTGTAGCTCTGTCTACACAACAATAGGTAATGCAGTAGTAAAGAGAGAGGGGGTAGTAGAGGAGAGCATTTGTGTACTTCTGTACAAATTCTTCTATACTTTAACATGTGTGTTAAACTGTGAGCGATGTTTATCAGAGAATGTATAAGTGTGACAGAATAGCAACTATGCAGAATATAAATAACCTCAAAGGTTTTTTTATTCACCAGTTAAAAACATTAAAACGATGTGAGACACAATCCATAATCATGACACAGCAAGTTTAGAATTTTAATTTAGAACTGATTACTGATTACTAATAAAATAGAATATATATATATCTCTCTTCATTAAAACAAAGCAAAGGAAGTTACTGCTACCAGGTTACATAGCTCCAGATCTTGGAATTGCATGATTGTTGGTCCCTGCTGAGAGTTAGATGAGAAGAACAATAGCACCCTCATATCTGCAGTCTAAATATGAAACTACAGCTAGAAGATTATTATCTTAGCTTAACATAAAGACTGGATTATTTCTTGGCTGGCCGAGGTAACTCCCTTAAGTCTCTGCTGGTTGGCTGGCAACCTCACAGTTACTACAAGGCTGCAGGAAGCTGCTGCTCCAGGCCAAGATCTAATCTGGCACATAAACCTCCTGTAAAACCACAACATGCCATTTTCATAAATTCAGTTTTTGTACAGATTAAACATGATGCAATATGTTGATAGTAAGCTTCAGAGGTGCTGGTTGGCAGATTTTGTTACCTTTGGTCAGTGCCAGGGTAGCTGTTTCCCCATTTCTAGCCTTTGTGCTAAGCTAAGCTAACTGGCTGCTGGCAGTAGCTTAATATTTCCAATATTGATCTGAGAAAAGAATCAGTTTGATCTAATTTGCAGTAACACCTTTACAAAATGTTGAACTATGGCTTTAATAAGAGGGGTGTTATATAGTCTCTAAAGGTCTAAGGTGGTAGTTAATTGTGTAATGCATTTTAGAAACAGAATTTCTTATTAAATAGCAGACTTCCCATTTTTGTAAAATTTTGGGCCGTAAAACTGAATCTGGCTTTATTACACGTATTTCTAAACTTTGTAGAGTTTACAATTAGCTCAAGTGTTTGAACAAAATATTTTTGATATTCATTTTCTTAGAGCAGAAATGTAAAATCCTTCCAATAAAACACAAGTGATTCTGATTCTTAAGTGGCTCAAGAGGGCACTGTCCATCATAGTGTTGAATTTCATGCTTAGTTATTATATCTAATGGGAACAAAAGTGTGTTTAAATTGCAAGCGTACCTGTGCATCAGAGTGCGCTTCATACTGTGCAGCTGAGCCGGAGCTCTGGTTGAACGTGTACATCAGCCTCAGGTCCTCCTCGTGAAGCTCATGGCCGTCCACCATGATGGATCCTTAAAACAAACAATAAGACATTAATAACCAAAATATACATCATTATATGGTAGCATACAATAACACATCAATTTACAGAAAACCAGAGTGTCTTTAATATAATAAATGTGCTGTTCATACACAATTCAACACCATGGAGCCCCACTGTGTTTCAGCACCATCAGCCCACAGTTCTGAAGGACCATAAATTATACAGCCTATATAAACACACCAGGGGGAAAGAAAAACATTCAAACTATGCTTGGTATACACTAAAACCTCTTTTTATGTCCACAAATGCTGTCATTTTTCTTTTGGGTTGTGATATTTGTGCTAACAGTCACACTGAACCAAATTATGCAGAAGGACGTATAATGTATACAGCCAAATTATTAGAAAAGGTTCTGGTGCAAAGTCAGCTGGATGCTGAATGATATAGAGTACAATTAGGAAACTGTTTGGAAGAGATTACATTTTCTTCTAATAGCAACATTTGAGTAAACTACTAATGAAACAATTCAATTACACACTTGTGTCAAATAGTTATTTGTTTTTCACAAATGTGTGTCTGACCAAATGGTTTAGTTTTGCTACATAGGGACAACACAGAGTATAAACTGTCAGCTGTACAAAAAAATAATTTAGCACCAAACTGATTCAATTTGAATAAACTGCCAACTGATTTTGTGAAATTATTGTTCATAAGGCAGGGTTTATCTCCTGAGAAAGACTATAGAAAAGGTTTCAGTTACACCTAGTCATACCAAAAAAGTGCTCTCTTAACTTGCATGCAGAATTTGTTTTGAATTAGCTGGGGTCTGGACTGGTGAAATTTTACGATTCCTTTCACTGCAGTCTTCCTGGCCAGTTTTTAAACAATACAGCAAACCCAATCTAGCCAGGCCTTATCTCCCTTTTGCCAATGGAAGCAATTACCCACATCTGTGTCCAGACGAAAAACTCGGACCATGTTCTCTCCTCTTCACTTCTACACCCCAAGGCTGGGTGAAACAGTCACTTGGACCCCCTCTAATCCTAGATTTCCACGCTTTGATTTCCTGTGTCCCTCCCTGCTTTGCTGCTCATTTCCACCTCATTTAATCTCTTTACAGGTAACAAACAATGAGGAATACAATCAGAGGCCTTGAACTCACAACCAGATTTTTAGCCAAATTGACACCCTTCTAGCCTGCGTTGAAACAAAGCTTTTAGAGTTGTGGATTCTGTGGTGAGAAACTGTTCACAAAGCAGATCTCTACTAAATGTGAGCTGTTGGCTTTTCAGTCACTAAAATTGCTTCACAAACAGCAGTGACACCTCCAGTGACTGACTGATCACTATCAGTTGCCAGATGTTAAATTTTTCCATAAATTTCCACAAAGATAGGAGCTGTATTATATACTCTAGCATGTTAACTGTACATCTGTAAACTCAAATATCACATCTTCTCTTTGGTCTTAATTTAATTACCTAATGCTTCGTGCTGCTGCACACCATCATTTTTCCACCGTCCTCTACCACATCTATTTCTTTCCTTTCATTGCTCATTCGCCCTTTTCTCCTTCCAACTGGCTTGACTTCAAACAACCCAGAGACTGGAAATGTTAAGTTCCCACAGCTGAGCTGACCTCCATGGTTTCCTTCCCCAGAGACTCTGGGGCTCTCATACCTTACACTAGTCTGAACCACACTCAAGCTCTGATTATATTTTCTGAAGGGATAGGGTTTTAATTCTGAGGATAAACTGGCCATTTCTATCAGGTTCCATTGCAGGGACTCAGTTTACTTATTGGTCAAAGCATTATTTTGATACACCATGCAACTACTGAGTAAATACTGTGCACAAAGACAACATTAAACACTGACTGTGAGTGTGATTTGAAGATTTGGGTTCATAAATTCTAGCCCTGTTTTGCACACAAAGCCAAACCTGTCTTCTGGAAAGCCTCTAGCTGTTCGCTGGTGAGCTCCTTGATAGAAGCAGTGATGGCTTTGAAAGCCCCCTTCAGTCTCTTGCCCAGAACCATGTGGTCTGGCTCGGCTCGTAGACGGATACCATACTTGTCTTTGTCTGTTGACAGTGTTAACTGTCGCACATTAAGCTCCTGCAGGATAAAGAAAAAAAAAATAGACAAATATGTCTTAGAAAAGGCAAAGTCACAGTCTTTCAGTTTACTGTATCAACTGTTAAATTGCCAAACAGTGAAAATGAAACTAATGTAACATGAGCAAAGTTAAACTATAAAACTTTTTATTTTCTGGCATTTGAATTCAAACAGACTGTGTTTTCATCTTGTGGAGTTAAACTGTTAGATGCCAAACAACAGGTAATAATAGCTCTCCTGACAACAGTGAACAGCTTAAGTGAAGTGACTGCCTTCATAAATAAAAACTTCAAAAGCATATACTGCACAGAGCCTACATACAGTATAGGCCCTACATCCATCTTAAGCTAAATGCTTTGTTACACCTTGTAGCAGTCAAATGAATTATTCATTAACCATTCAAGGACTTCCGATGGAAAAATGCAATTCACTCAAAGAGGAAGTCGGCCATGAAACCAATCAGTCAGTAAGCCTCCAATAAACCACTTGTCATAAACAGTCCATTTTTCTGCCTTGTTGTAGGCAAAAAGTCAATATTTTACTCATCAAAGTCAACTCATCACATCGGTTTAAAAAAATGTGGTGGTCTTGCGATGACAGACATTAATGAATCATTGTTGAATTCACTCAGTGCCGAATCGGTGCACATTAAAGTAGCGGTTAAAGAAATATATTTATTATAAAGGGTTAGTAGTTAAATAGTAATACAAAAAAGCATTAAAGGATGCAAAGTAAAAGTAATGGTGCAAGCATGAAATCTAATCTAATCTAGTCTACCTGTTCTGCTCAAATCCAACCACACACATTGTGAAAGAGCCTGATGGTTCTTCCTTGGACTGCAGGACCTTAACTGCTTTCGGCTTTGATCAAATAAACCGTGTTTACTGGAAGGAAGCTCAAGAGTCAGCAAAGTTAAATGCTTTCCCCAGCAGAAATCAAACAGTGAGAGAGGAGGAGTTCCACAAACAAAGATAATTCTCACAGGATCCAACAAAAGTAACAGAAGACCTTTGACCTTTTCCCATTTGAACCTTATCCATAAATGTTCTGTTAATATTCCTGGTCAGTGTCATGTGGGAACAAGAAGTGGAATTAGTTTTTCATCTATGTCACAAATAATTTCTAAGCTTGCAATATAGTAAGATTTCCGGAAAGAGAGAACATTCCCGTTAAACGGGAGAATATTCCTACTTTAAACAGTGGAGGGAATATCTGAGTCAGCAATGACTTTTTGATCTTTCTTATTGAAAAATCAAACTCGAAGACAAAAGGATAGTGTTAGTTTAATGGCTCCCTGCGTGTAGATGCTATGACATTTAGTCTGTCTAATATCTCATTATGAATTTTTCCTGGTCTCTTGAATTACACCTAAATGAACAATTTTGTCATCAGACTGCACCTTTCAATAAATAGGCATATGATGAAAAAACATTATATGATATACTTAAAAATGTCAGCGGACAGTCGTCAACAGAATATTTTTTTATACAATAAATCCAGACGATGTGTGATTAGGAAAAAGCCTGTACCAGTACTTCTGCAAGCTGCATGTGTGAAAGGGGCTAGAAAAATTAAAATGATGAACTATAATGATGCACAGTACTGTCACTGTAAAGTACATAAACAGTAACAATGATATGTTTATTTTACCAGAGGGGAAACGACATAACGCTCATATTTGCACTGTGTGTGGCAACTGGAGTAGATCAAATGTGAAATAATTTTCCGTGGCATCTGCACCACCTCCTTTCTAAAGTAACCAGACAGAAATTTCAATACAGCTTAAGATACAAACAGCATATAAAGAAGCACTCTTTCTGCTCTTCATCCCCTCGGCCAAGTCAACATGCAATAGTGGCTCTGGAGTGTCAACAAAACCTCTAGAGGAGTAATGTTAAATAGACCTATAGTAGCAGTAGAATTAGTTGATGTTTCAGGGGTGCATTTCATAAGAAAGATGAGAAAAACATGCACCTTTTGCTTTGAAACAAAGCACTGACAAAGTGACTCTGTAGCATGGATGAATAATGTCTTCAACAAGGCAACAGCAAGACTGCACAAAATGAACAATTATCACACAATATAAACAAAGGGTATTCTTCATAAATAAAAAAAAAAAACCCATCGAGTATATAGAAAAGACAGCTGACATACTTCCAGGATGTATTTCTGCAGGGACTGGATATCTTTCAGAGCCTCTGCATCCTGGTGAATTACTACCACCTCCTTCAGTGGGTACTGAAATACATAAAGACATTACAGTTGGTCACCAGCTCCAGTATCAGAAGTATAAAAATAGGCTTAACACCATACTAGACCTAGCTGATTTATATCACAAAACCAGCCACTTAACAGTATAGAAAAACTAATGCTGCATTTGATATTTTTTGATAGATTTTGTATATTTCGAACTTTAAAATCCCTAATGTCACTTTAGAGCTTATTTCCTATAGTTTCAGTTCATTAAAGCTTTTACACTGGATGGTGTAAAGTTGATGATTTACCTTGACAGGCAGGGTCTTCCTGTCTCGGATCACTCTGCCCAGCTCAATCACAGACTGCATCTGAGAGACAGCGTTCTCAATGCGCTTGTCAATTAAACTCTCCCTGTAAAATAAAAAAAGAGGCAGAATAAATCTTATCACCATATCATGAGTAGCGTTACCATATCAACCACATCACATCACTGATAAGAACTTGAATTAATAAAGCTTATAAGTTTCAAACTAAAATATAATTGGATGGCAAATGGTAATTTAAGCTAACAGCAAGGATGCCATAAGACCACGCCCTTCTTCTAATAAGAACATTCTTCAAAAAAAAAGTCTTCTTGGGATAATTATTCTGTACCATGTCAGGGCAAAGTCGGTGAATGTAACTGCATTTTTGCAGTAATTCAGGTCTCATCATCTTTAGTTAATGGTAAATTGGAAATTCAAATGGGTTTTTTTATTGAGGAAAATTAATAAGAGAATGTGACAAGGTCAGTGCCACACATCTAAATAAGACAGAGTTCACAACCACCAGCAACTTTCACTAATAAGGTATACTGAGACTTTCACCTCTAAATTCAAATTAGAGCTGCACAGCCACTGATAATCATGAATAACAGCAATTTAAGCTTGTTCATTTACGGGTGCAGTGTGCTTCTCCCTATGAGCATAAGGCATTGGAGTAAAATGAGAATGGAAAGGATATGAGGACCAGCCAATCATTCAATAAGCTGACTCAGGAACAGCTGTTCCTATTGGCTGATTGGTGGCTGACCTTTGTGAGAAGAATGAAGTAGTCCTATTTGACAGCAGAAAGGACAAGTAGCTAATAAAGCAGCAGCATGAGAACTGGCTAAGTGACAGGGGAGGTTCTAGTTTCCTTATGCTAAATCAAATGCATATTTAATTACGTATGTGTTAGTTAAATATGATGCAATTAGGTTTGGGCAATTAGAAATTGCTCCAAGGCATTACAAAACTGATCAATTACACAGGACTTTTTTTTAACAAAAACAATTGAAGTGAAGGGGATGAAATGATCATATTTTGAGAGAATCATCCATTTGCAGGGCTTCACAATCAAGACAAGTGCTTTTCAATCCTGTGCTGGTATTTCTAGGCACACTGGTATATAACTCTATAGCAGCCACCAACATCTTTACAGTAAAAATACAAAAAGGGTTAAGCTGATTATCAAGAGGAGACAGCAGTGTACTGAAGAAAGGTGTTATTTCTCCATATTAGACAAACTGGTTGTTTGCTGGAATAGACATTTTATCAGTATGGAGAATGCATCAGCACTTATCATGCAGGAATGAACTGCACTGGCACATTAGCAGACTGAGAAAATCTGCTCAGAAATGACACAAAAGCTATTCTTAATCTACAGAATCACTCAATGCATTAAATTCACACTTACAGTAATGATTAATCTGTAAAGTTTGAGAATTTAATAACTACAACAAAAGAGTGATTTATAAACTAGATTTTTAAAAAATTAACACAGGAACCTGAAGAAGAGCAGGAATCAAGAGACTGAATGGTTAAGACACAAAGAGAACAGCTACTATGAAGTCTGACACATATCTAGAAACTATTGTGAACTTTCAAGCTTCAGATGCTTTGTACAGTAAGGCCACACACCCAGGCTGAGCCTGATTAAGCTATGGATTCACAGTGAATATCGCGGGAGAAAGGGGCCCGGAGGGTCATTATGTGGCAATAACAGCAGTAGAGTAGGTGTCAGTTGCTTTTTTCCCCCCCCAAACAAGGTGGTATGTTGCTGGAGGAAACTGTTTAAGGAGTATGTACATCCTCAATTTCTGCCTGGCTCCTCCCAGCCAGAATATTTAAAGAAATGCAGTATGGGGAGTGGGGTCTACATTTGTAGGAGCAAACAGGTTTATGGAGGTGACATAACAGGGCTTAGTACTTTCACTGAGTGATCCTAAATTTTGGACCTGCCATTAAATGCCCTCTTTAATTTTATTGACATGTGCCATTTCACATATGAACTCCTGACAATGTCCACAAAAACAAGCCCTGACATTGTCCAGAGTTACCCTTTCACACATGTAGCACACAACAGAAGATAGTCCAGGGTACAGTGCGCAGGAGGCAGGACATGACAAATGTAGCCAGTTTCTAATTTGGTTAAAAACCAAGTCTCCTGTCCCTCCTTGATTTGATCATCTACTCATAATGACAAGTTCCTGAAGGTTTTCTTCATTGTAAATGACCATTTTTCTTCACCATCAGATGCTTCCTGTTTCACACCAGACACATGATAGAGTGTCATCAACATGCTCAGTATCGTGGTGTGAATACTCCAGGCTATACGCTACTGTTTTCTCACATGGGCTCACATAAACGTTACACGGACTTTGTACTAGGGAGCTGGCAGGGTAAAGGCCATAATGTCAAATGACTGACTCAGACATTTGCCTTCTCACGTATGACCCCTCCAAGTAATGTCTAGATAATTTCAGGGCTCCAGTGCATGTCTGAAAGGGGCTATGAAGTCTATATCCCTAAAACATGAGCTTTACTGAAAAGGATTTTCCCACCTGACATGGGGCAGCATGAGATAATGGATGCTACTGGTGTTCTTTTCTTCGACAGAGGCAGGGTCAATGAGATGACGTAGATTTTGGTACATCATCTCTGTAATGAAAGGTGTGAAAGGGGCCTGAGGGGAGCAACAGAAAAAAACAAGAAGACAAGAAAAAAAAGAAGATTATTAGTATCTGTGTATGCTGATCAATTTACATTTCTAGCTTTCTAAAGGTCTAAAAATCAGAAGCAGCTATGAAACCAGCATAAAAATGCATTTTACTGTAGCTTTTTTAAAATGGTGCAAAAGTTCAGACAGAGTTATAACAGAATGAGGTTACTGTGATTCTCTTCCATTTCAACCATGGCTAATTAATCTGCAGCCTACAGCTGATCTGTATTGATCTGGGGTAGTCTAACTGGCTCTTAGAGCGTCTCTCACCTCACATGCCAACATCTTCAATGTGTTATAAATAAAAACCCCTGCTGCTCATGCACTATTCATAGCCATGCGAGAGCGCGCGCGCACACACACACACACACACACACACACACACCTTTTCCATACCAGCATCATTTCTTTGGGCCTTGCATACAAAAAGCAAAACCTCACCACCGAACATTTCCCCATACAATGTTGTTTCTCTGTCAGTCACACACACAGAAAAGGAATGACTCACCATCAGCCTGCACATGGAGAACAGAACACTCAAGAGGGTTTCGAGCGCCCACAGGCAGTCCTCAGTGCCACTCTCTCCCTACAAAGATCACAAACATCAATACATTCTGTCCCACTGGAGCAGTGGAAAGGTAACAGTGTATCACCAATCAGCGATAGTCAGCCAATGGTTGACTAGGAGGGCCACAAAGCAGCTGCTATAAAATATCCACAGATGGAGGCTAAGATGAGGCTATGATGAGCTGCTTACTGGCAATCACTGTTGCCATTAACCACAAGAGTAATTTATGTGTTAAATAAACCTGTAAAAATGCAGGACATTAACTATGAAGACTACCAATTTTTACTCATCCGATACTACTAATTGTGATTTGTCACTCCTGGAATGTCATGCATCTAATGTCTAAAGCCGGTACCTTGGATTGCCAATATATAAAAACATTAGCACTAAACAAGCACTAATTCAGAGCTGCAACCTCACCTTCAGACGGCGTCTGTTGGTCCGGACGTACCAGTTAGTAAGCATGTCCACAAACTTGACCAGGCGAGGAACAACAGTGTACAGGCGGTAAGCTTCAACAAGAAAACACGTGTCAGTTCATTTATACACTTCTAGTGAATCAGGAAATCTCACTGAGATCTTTATTGGAAGAAAGATCTGGGCACAGCAGATAAAAAGTAAGCATAACAAAAGTCCACATACATACAATAAATGTAACCACTACAGAAAAGGGCACATATGCATACAAACAACATAGCTGGTCATTTACAACAACTACAGAAACAACTTGAAAATCTTGCTAGATAGGATGAATTTTAAGATGTTAAACTGTTATTTTCTTAACCACTGTCCACACCACATGAGGATCTGGAAGGAAAGGTCAGTGGTGTGTGTTTGTGTGTGTTTTGAGAGAGTTTGTCCTACCATCCATCTCAGCCTTAAAGAACTGGATGAGGGACTGTGTGAAGGACTGAATCCATTTATCCATGATGTTTTCGCTCTGCTTCGCCGTGTTCTCATTGTATAGGAAATGAATGTCATCCTCCTGAGACATAAATATACAAGCACACATACACAAATATAACTGAAAAGATGCATAAGCTTTACCATTACGTTACTCCTCTGACAATCTGATTTGTTAAGCAGAACAAGGACAAACAAAATCATAAATGTGCTTAAGTAGGACCTGAAGCCTGTCCCACATAAAAAGAACAAAAGTTGAAACAGCAGCAGTTTGGATCAGCATGTACAGACACTAGTGTTGCACGATATACCGGTACTAGTATGGTACCGCGGTACTGAGGCATTTAAAATGGTACTATACTGCATTTGGATGGGACCGGTACTTGCAGCGCCCGCCCGCAACAGAGGGAAACAGAGCAGGAAACAGCTTCCTCGTCCTCTGCTCACTGAGCAGCGTGGACTGGAGCAACAAACGGAGCAGGAGGAAAGC